TGTCTATTTTTAAGTAAATCCACCACGTGACGCCGTCGCTACTTTTAGATTGATAAACAAACACGGCGTCAAGAAAACGAGGTAAGCCCTTTGAGATACAACTCACTTTTGACTGGATGGCGTGTTACTATTAATATAACTTATCTTTAAATGTAATCAGTATCAACCATCTATACTCTGTTATGACGCATATTAACCTTTTATTAATAATCGTTGTCAAAATGCAACGTGCCTCGGTGTGTGTAATTTCCCGTGGACAGACGTGTCTATATTTAGACCTACTGTTTACGCACTTCCTTTATCAATATTCATGAAAAGACTGAATTCTTGATTGCAGATATTGCTTTATTGTTCTGTTATTACAACGAGTTTTATAGTTAAATTTTGTGGAAATATTATTTTTTCATTACACTTTATGTGTTTCAAATCATTTAATCATTTTGTTTCACATACAAATCGGCATCCATACGGCGTATATTACTTTAAATTGTAGTTATTGTAAACATGTACCATGTACACAGAACGAAGTCCGGGAAATTTATTGGCAAGTCTAATTATAAACGTTAAAGAAAGGTGTTTGAAGGGGAAAAAAAAGAAGCTGCAAGGAATCAAAGTTGACGAAAATGATAATATTTGTTCGTACAGTGTTCATGCAGACATTAGAGAAGACAAATCTTTCCTGACCTGGTTCAATAAATGTCACTAGATTTTTCTGTGTAAGTGTTTTTTTTTCTTGTTTTATTAGTGTGCAAAGGGTACCTAATTCCTTGTTTTTTCAAAAGTATTACCACTGTAATCATTTTTGGATATTGATTACAATTGAAAGACAATAAGAAAAAAATGTTTGTCTTCCATAAAATATTTTACCCAGGATAATGATCTGCATACCTTTATAGATACAAATTGTCCATAAAGATGGCAGAAAAATAATTATACATTCTATAAGAAATAGAAACATACATTTTTCAACTTTCCCTTAAATTTGGTGAATTGTTCGATCATAAAAGTTTTAGATGGTCAAATATTTCTTCTTTAGTGAGAAGGGCTGCAGAATACATAAAGATTATTCACTTTCTGGGGAAAAAGTTTGTTTGTGTTATTCAACCTTAAGTTAAAAATTCATCCAACATATATTTCTCTTGTATATATTTCTTTATTTTGATAGGGATGTAACTCTGATAGGCGCAACCGCCACGTGAAAGCTTTTTCTTTCTATCCCATACTGTTACTCTTCTTAACCCTTTTTAGGAGAGAATCCTTCTGTGTTTTGTTTTTTCACGAGATTTGTGTTTTTTAAGGTATTCACTGTTTAACGACCATATTTTGTACCTAATAAATGAAAAGTCCGATATTTTTAATCATGGTAGCTTTTTGAAGATGTTATCAAATAAAAATGCTCCACCAAAGGAATTTACAAACTTTTGATTATTGTCCAATTGATTTCAATTTGAATTTTACACTGAGGTATATGGACAGCGCGGGTTTTTATAAGATATTGTAAAAAGTAATTTGAATTTCAAACAAATCTCCTAATGAAAATACGCATAAACTCCCTCTTTATTAAATTATGAAAAAAAAATGAATTATTTACCGCAAACATTTTGAGAAATCATAAATTTTCTTCTTTTCGTCAAAGGCAGATAACTTTTCAAAAAGTTTTTAATGTGTAAAAAGAGTGTCTCCTCACATGTTATCAGTCTTGTAAATTTGGTTCATGTCACTTTTATCGTTATCTGAGAATTATGTTTTAACTAGTTAAAAATTATTTAAAATCCATTAAAATCCCTTCATTGTACAATATTTACGTCCACTAAATATGTTCTCCTTTATTTCTTAAGAAAACCCATTGCGTTAATCACTGCATGAACTACATTAGGCATGTCGCCTGTACAAATTTCTTAATCAGTGCATGGTTGTTCCATCAATGAAACGTATAAAGACGTTCGCATCATTAATACAATAATTAATCTTTTAAATCCTACTTTAAATGATTGTTGAAGCTGATATAAATATAAACAATAAAATGTCTTTCTTTGTTTGTTATTACTGGAATTAACGGTCGCAGCTATTGCAGAAAAAAAATTACATAACCCGCTTACGCGGGTTATGTATTTTTTCTGCAACAGCTGTTTCCGTTAATTCCAGTAATAACAAACAAAGAAAGCATTTTATTGTTTAATTGAATACCTTAATCTTGAATTTTATCTTAAGACCATAATTACATGTACATCCTGTATACGCAATGTGCATTGATTGTCTCGTGAAAGATTGTAGAGCATTTTATAAATATAAAGATAACACACAGTAATCAAAAGCTCAATAATCCTTTAAGCATTACATTTTGGTAGCAGAGCCAATACGGTTCTCTAAATTACTCAGCGGTGGGATCATATGTCATAAAGGAGTAAGAATCCCTTGTCAATCGGTCACATCCGCTGCCTGTGCCGTGTTCAGGCAAACGAAAAAAATCCTTAGTTCGGTGTACAGATAACGGCGTAACAATTTGCACAAAATTGTCAGTCAACATATGATTTATTGATAGCTTGTAATCGCTTACAATGTCACTGCTGATATTTTTGTTTTTTGTTATTGGTCATTTGCATCGTTTACGAAATCCCTCGAACACAGTACACACCGCATGGTCTTATGTTTCAAATAAACTCTATTTGCAAATAATAAGAGTAAATTGCCACATAAATATATGAAGTTGACGGAAAACGTTATAAAAATGTATTTTTTCATTACATTTTGTACATTTGCCAATAACGTCTTTTCAAGGAAAATATCTAAATATAAAACAGATGTGTCTGAATCTGTGATATCTGAGTTTCGAATTAATTAAAAGTTATATATCTGTAATTATCGAATCAATTCAGGAAGGAAAATAATATTTTTCATTGATAAAAGTCTTTGATATGTCTGAATGCCACAGAAGCTCTACTTCTACCAAATTCGAGAAAAGTAGTTACCATGGAAACACCTTTCATCAAAATTAAAAACCAATAAATAGAATTATTTATCTTACTGCAGGCTACTCGTGTGACAAATTACATTGAGATCCGATCAAAACTGTACTAGGAGTAGCATTTTAAAAATTGTTTAAAGACTGAGAATCGGACAGACGGACGACGGACACATTACTATAGCATAAGCTCTTCTGGTTTCTAAGAAAAAAATTAGACAGTGATTCCTTAGTGTAAAACGAGAACACAAATTTGAGCTATAGCTGCCTTACCGACTACTCGGCATACTCAAGTATTTAAAGGAAATCACCTGTTTCTATTTATAGATACATGTACCTTTTCAATTCAATATCAAACTTTATGTATGTAATCATTTGTGAACCAGTGTTATATTTTCATAATTGCAAGTTTGTTGCATGATAGTAATTTTACTTGTCCAATACTCTTATTCTAAACAAGATTGTTTGAAATTTTTAAAAATAAAACAGGCTAGCAGCTATGACTTTGGGTCATTAAAATAGTTTAAGACTGTTTTTCCCCAAGATACTTTCAATGTGTAATGTTGAATAATAAATCTCTTTTAAAAATAATTTATACATGTATTATAAAATAATAAAAGAAAACATAGGAAAATGCACACAGAGAAAAAAATAAAAACGTAGTTAAGTATCACGCACTGTGAGTCTCGAACTCACGATCATTTTATCTTCAATCCAGCAATCATACCACTACGCCACGAAGTCTTGGAACGCAAGTGGATGAAATTAAGACAGATTGGTGAATTATGAAATAATTTTAGAAGAAAAATTAAATGCATATTTTCAACATTTTCAATATGAAGACCACTTTTAACCAAAATTATCTAAACGTAATGAAGTGCAGTCATATCCAAATAAAATTATTCAGAAGTTGTTTTTCTGGTTAAGGGTGGTCTTTTGCTACAGTTTGTCATTGTTTAGGGGGGTACCTCAGTATTTACTATATTCTCCAAATAAACTGAGAGATTTTCATAACTATCATATGAGGGAACTATTGATAATTGAGTTTTATTTTTGTGTGAGTTGCTTTAATGCATGTATAAATTAACATCGTATGACAAAATTTTGGTTAAACAAAGTATTTAAAAAATCACTACTAGAGTAGGCGAAAGTGACTATCAAATCATCTTCGCTAGCCAAGGGTTTCCGATCCGAAATCTACTCTACAACCCTTGGCAGATTTGGCTGAAAATTTTAGAACTCGCGCAAACGAATTTGATTGGCTGCGAAGTCCGAGTCTACGCAAGGTTTTTACTAATCGACGATTTTCGGGTGAATTAAAGTCTGTTCGTGTTTTATGCAAAATAAGAGTAATATTTACAAGGAATGAAAGTTAGGACGTGATCTATCTTAAAAAAAAAACAAGGGATTAATTAATTTGAATTTTTTTCTTTTAATTATATATGTTTTCAAGAATTATTGAAAGGACCACATAAGTCCGTGTTCCGCATTTTAGGTGCATCAATTTAAGCCAATCAAATGTCACGGCTCATTGATAATAATTGATACGGCAACAAGTAGAAAGTGGTGTCAAACTCTTGACTAAAAATCCACGAGGAACGATATTTTCTACCACTTTTGAGGTGTGCCCACTGCCCACAGCTGTATGAAGTTGTTTGGATATATTCCACATTAAATTGCATGGAGGTCGCCATATTGTTTCAAACGTCATATTGATCTACGTATGTTACAGCTATTTTCATTGGACAAATATTAAAGAGCTTCAAGGGACTTAACTCAATTACGGCGATAGGCGGCGCAATCAAAGTTCCCGTTTGACAGGACTAAATCTGCCAAGGGTTGTAGAGTAGATTTTGGATCGGAAACCCTTGGCTAGCGAAGATGCTATCAAATGCGCTATGGCTTTTAATACAAAATATCTGACAAAACATAACACTGGTGTGTAAAACATGTATATTGTCACATCCCAGTCGGTAAAAATCATTGTAAAAATCATGATGCAAACACGATTAATGCCATATAAGCTCAATTGATGGTATTATTCTTCATCTTTATCAAATCCACCATTGCTCTGATCATTATTTTCTTTATCTTCATCATATCCATCATCGCTCTGGTAGTCATCTTTGTTGTTATCACATTCACCATCGCTCTGATCATAGTCATCTTCATTTTTATCATATTCATTGTTGCTCTGATCATCATCTCCTTCGCTTTTATCATATCCATTATGACTCTGACACTCATCTTCCTCATTTATAACATTTCCATCATCGCTCTGAATATCATCTCTTTCATTGATATCATATCTATCATCGCTTAGGTCATCATCTTCTTTATTATTACCTTTATCATCCTCATAATCATATTATTATTTAATACAATTAAACCACTTTAAATTTCTTTATACATGTAATTTTGATTAAACTTTTCATGTAATATTAAAATTTATGCGGGTAAAATTATTTATCTTAATTATGTAAAATTAGATTATGTTCAAAACTTTGAAATATAAATTCATTTGTATTATATGTCCTTAAATCATTATATTAAATAATTTTGTTTTACAACAATTATTATTATAAAATTGTTCAATATATATTTCTTTTCTTCAATTACAGTAAATTTTGTTTCAGTTTAAAAGAAATATAGATAGGAACAAAAGCAAATCACCGGACAACTATTGAGTAAAATTTATTTCATATTTCAAAGAAAAAGGTATAGAAAATGCCTGATGGCGAAAAAGTCAGTTTTTCCAGATAAACAATGAAAATATACATAGGACATAAGAAGGAGGCTAATCATTGCCATTTAGTAGAAGAAGAGAAATAACTCGTATATCGTTTTCTGAACATACATACGCACAGTGCATTTACAATTGTAATTCTTCATTTTATCTTTAGGGAAAATGTCTTAACAATTGTAAGCAATCATGCACATTGACCATATTCATAAATACATAGGTAATCAGAGCTTACAGAGCTCACCTCAACGAATGTTGTCTTTAAGTAAAGTCACACAAATACCCAACAAAACGTGTACATCCAAAAATGCAAAATTTATGCAATTTTGGTCTGTTACTTTGGAATACACTTCCTCACAAAAATGTTATTAAAATCTAGCATCTGAAGCAAGTTTGAGATTTTTCATCCCTTGATGCATCATTTTGGCAAATTTTGTTTACATAAGCTGTAGGCCTATAGTTTCTTGGTAATGCTATGATGTATCATCCAAGCGAGTTTGCACAACTCATAGTTACTTGGAAATGAGTCCTGCTTCAAAAACTTTAACCTGTCCACTCATCCAGAAAATGTAGGTCAGATTCAGCATCTGAAGCAAGTCTGAAAGTATGCATTCTTAGATGTATCATCCATGCAAGTTTGGTCAACATAGGGCTTATAGTTAGTTGAAAATGAGACCTGTACAAAAAAATTAACCTGTTCACTTAACTGGAAAATGTAGGTCAGATTTAGCATCCGAAGCAAGCCTGGTAATGTGCATCCTTAGATGTATCATCCATGCAAGTTTGGTCAACATAGGGCTTATAGTTCCTTGGAAATGAGACCTACACCAAAAACTGCACCAAAAATGTTAATCTGCTCCGAAAACATTAACCTGGTCATTCCTTTGCTGAAATTGCAGCATTTGTAACGTTGACTGGTACAATGAAACACACTAGAAGCATCCTCCATGCATGTCTAATCAATATAGGACATAGAAGTACTTAAAAAGAAAACCGCTCCAAAAAACTTAACTTGGGACGCCGACACCGAGGGTATTACATAAGCTCCCCGAAGCTAAAACATAGTTACAAATATATATTTTTAAATAAAGACATATACGAGGGTTGTCCCAAAATTTCGTAGACTGAGCTCTTTTAAAGAAATTGAAGTATCTTTACAAAATTTTCAGGGTGGAGAGAGCATGTTCTTGGCAGATAAATTACGAAGTTTTATGATGATTACTTGAAATCTTTTCGAGTAATAACATTTAAAGTGATATCGTTCTCTAACACCCGGAGCAATCTGCAACGTCAAAAAATACAAATGTCAACAGTTCAATTTTTTGGAGAAAATAATTCAATTACCAGATTCAAATTCTTAAATTAAACGAAACGGTTATAGTAATAAATGTGAAATATCTTATTTACTATGATATGGTCAAACATTAAAATATGTAAACAAAGTATATGCATGTACAGGTATGAAATAATAAAAATTTGAAAACGCTACATTTCTACGGTCTTTTCGTCTGTTTTCTCTCAGGGAGTTGCACAATGCAACTCTTGCCCATTTCTTAGCCCCGTCTTTTATTTTAGCTACTGTTATTTATATACATAGAGAAACCATTTTAATCATTTTAAATACTCAGGATTGAGAAAAAGTTCATAGTCTATCAAACCGTTATGACTGGTACATTTTTGTAAGAGTGAATTCAGGATCAAAACACTTGATCATAGTCCAGTGCGCCGCGGTGTCAACGCAGCGGCCATTTTTCAGAAAGTCGGATTTCAACCTCATGTATATAAAACGTTATAAAAATCATATTTATCAAAGCATAAACACCAAAATTTGGGGAAATGTAGTTAATAGAACAGTATTAAGAATTTTCATTTCCATTAAAAAAACGGGGTAGTAATTACTTTTCCGTAGGATTTTAAATATAATATACCAAGTTTTAATTGCAACTCTTGGGTATTGCGCCGCCTACCTACACCAGACAATGAAATTTGTCTTTTAAATTGGAATAATTTGTTTAGTTACTCCATATTTGTCCATAAATTTATTAGATAGTGTTGGTTTAATCTATATACGAAGTTTCATTAATGTATGACATAGGGTTCCTACAAAACAACGCTTGTCTACGGAATTTTGGGACAACCCTCGTATACATGGAAATACAGGAAATATATTGTGACAGGAAACGTTACTATATGACAGTTAAAAAACTTATTTGTAAAACATCTGAAAATTGTTAATGAAAGCACCAAAGCTTTACTGTGTAAATTACTTCGTTTTTTTATTTCATTATACACTGTGAATTTATGGATTTATTGATTATATATAACCATTTCTAAAAAGAATAATTATCATCTTATACACTCGTCGCTGAACGATTTCAAGAATTTTCAAATTCTTTAGTGATATATTAAGTATCAAAAATCTAAACATCCACGATTTCAAAATTTGAATCCCTCAATCCGAATTATCTTTCGTGAGAAGCCAACATAATATCAATACGATCGTTTTCCCACTTTTTCTTCATTATCGTCATCATCGTCAGTGGCAGATGTATCATTATCAATGTAATCACGTAGATCTTTGTTATGTCTATCTTCTTCATCGTTAATAAATCCACCATTGCTCTGATCATCATTTTCTTCATCTTTATCATATCCATCATCGCTCTGGTCATCATCTTGACATAATAACTGTTGAAGATTGCTTGGAAAAAAAGGCATCTCTTACTTATTGTTTCTGTTGGTATGGATCTCTGTATCTGTACTCCTGGTAGACGTCTTTCCAATAGATCAAGGCGACGATACTCCAGAAAATGTTTATCTAGTTTTCCTTTTGAGAGCCTCGATACAGCCTAAGAGAGAAAGAAATGAGTCTTAACCCCAACCCTTCTTTAGGAATCTGTATGGTTTTGTTTAAATGCAATCCCTCTCTTTAACTGTAATACCTTTATTTTTCGCTGAATAGTTCATATCCCAATGAAAAACAATACTTCTTCCTGAATGTATATACTGATATCAAAAAAGTCCTCTCTATGTATAAGTAATAATAAGCTTATTTTTTCGATTGTAGAAATTCCAACGTTTTTGTGTTTATAAAGTATGAAACCCTTTTCAGGTCTGAAAAAGATGTTCTTTCTAAACTAGAACTTCAAAATACAATTTTGATTTTTAATAGATATGTTCCTCGAATGCCTCCTGCATTTAAGGAAACACTGTCTTTTTTTGGTTTCATGATATGATCAATCTATTGACTTGCGTGGTACTTTGCATAAACGACGAAGGTAATCGAATGATCATTGTCATAAAACTAAATTAATTGACAGTTATCCCATATATTTACATGCTTTTGATCCCACAAATTCATGTGCTACAACCCTTGGTTCTGTCTTTTTTTTGTCCCGCCCAGCTCATTTTTTTTTTTAGAATAAGCCTACTAGTATCAATGAAGCAGTATAGATTTATATAAAAATAGAGTATTTGTACTTTTTACTATTTTTGCTTTTGTCTCGGACAAGGACAAATGGGAATGTAAATATTACAAAACAGATTTTCGTGACAGCAAATGATTACGTGTCTCAATGATTTTTCACTATTTCTCAAATAAAAAAAAGATAACTAAAGCTTATTTTTAGCATAAGAAGCTCATCGAAGTATCCCCGAATTTAAAATGCTTAAAAGGTGGTTTAAAAACTAATTTTCTGTCTGAAATGCCTTAAGCCTTCTACACTATGACCCTTTGCGATCGTGGGATTTCAAGTTTAATGGGGGGGGGTGAATGGAAATTTACTGACAATTTTAGAGATGTAAGTTCTATCTAAAAATCCAAAAGAGAAAGCCATAGATGGCTAGATCGAGTGTGGTTTTATTTGCTAAATGATAGTTACTAAACTCACTTTTTCTAAAGTTTCCCACATTTTTCTGAAGTCGGCCTCATCTACTTCTCCTACATTATTGTGAGCGATTTTATTCCTTATCTCCTGAATTCTTCTTAATTCTGCTGTATCGGAGTGGTCATTAACTTGCAATTCCTTTTTCCATTCTGAATTCGTATCGAGGCTTCTTGATAGGCACGCTATTGCTGAAATGTCCAGTTCGTCGTAAATGACCATAACTGCAAACAAGAGATTCTTATAACAAGGAGTAATTTTTTTCATGATTTTTCTTTTCGGTAATTTGGGCATACGTATACATGTTAGAACGTTTACACTCTAGCTTGTAAGAACTGTTTATTAAGAATACCAAAATTTCAAACAATAGCAATATAGGATTTTTATAGTAACTCCTTTATAGGACTGTTACAGTTACTCCTTAAAAGAAGGGTAAGTAACCCCTTTCACTCCTTCATGATCCTGATTTTTAGATAATCAGTAGGATACATGGGTCAATCCTACATCAGCCAAACAATGACTAGTGACTAATAATCTTTCACCTGTATATTCGAGTTAGAAGTTAAAATCACGGTATTTTATATTTCTGAAAAGTGTGGTTTTAGAAACTGATTTTGATAAAATTTTTATATACTAGTACTTATTTTAGTGATTTTACCGAGAGTTATCCTTTTCTAATAAGAATCTGAAAGGTTTTATATGGATTTTTTTAATTTTTATTAAAAGTATTATGATAAAATTAATACATTTTTTTGGTATGAAGTTACTCGGTTTCATGTAATATATTTAAAGAGGATTGAAATTGAAATACTCTAAGGAAAATATCATCACATATGTTAGAAACATAAAGGACAAGATAGGGTTAGACCAGTATTTGGTCCCCGATTTTAGGTGTCTTTCAGAATGATCCAACAGTTTAACCATAAAGACCTGTTGTCACCCCTGCCAAAAAATGAGTATTGGTTCTAAGCTTTAGAATATACAGTGGTAACAGTGAGGTCAGGAAAAAGATCAATTTTCGAAATTCTTTATGCAAATTTTCATCGATTTTACAGCATATTTTGTTTCGGAAAACACAGAGCACACGCTTGCCTATCTACCAAAGGACAAGATATGGTTATCTGGCCTCTCATTTGATGTAAAAATCTGGCCCTTTATTTGAGGTAAACATCAGAACACTGGTAAAATTGTAATAGTTAGACTAAGTGTAGTTAAGAAGTTAAAATGATGCTTTCTTTAAAACAAGCACTAATTTAGATTCAAAGCTTACATGAAAGCCACTAGAGGATCCAGAAGTAGGACTTTTTTCCAGAATTTACTCAATTCTTGTGAAATTTCATCATATTTGAGATACTTTTCTCTTCGGAAAACATAAAGCACAAGCTTGCCTCTCTGAGATTTTTTACACATAAACTGCACCAAATATGAGTGTATAAAATATATAAATTTATTAAATAGGCAAACTCGTGCTCTGTGTTTTCCGAAGCAAAATGTGCTGTAAAATCGATAAAATTTGCATAAAAATGAGAAATTTTGAAATTTGACCTATTTCCTGACCTCACTGTGCCTCTGTATATTCTAAATCTTAGAATTTATACTAATTTTGTGGCAGGGGTGACAGCTAGTTTTTATGAATACATTTATTGATCTTTCTGAAATACTAGTACACCAAATATCGGGGGCTAAATACTGGTCTTACCCTATCTTGTCCTTTATATATTTTATACACTAATATCAGATACTATTTATGTGTAAAAATCTTAGATAAGCAAGCTTGTGCTCTATGTTTTCCGAAGAGAAAATTATCTTAAATATGATGAAATTGCACAAGCATTGAGTAAATTCTGGAAAATGTCCTACTTCTTCACCATCTAGTGGCTTCCATGTAAGCTTTGAAGCTAAATGAGTGCTTGCTTTAAAGTAAGCATCATTTTAACTTCTTAACTACAAACTATCACGATTTTACCAGTGTTCTGATGTTTACCTCAAATAAAGGGCCAGATTCGGCCGTTACTCTATCTTGTCCTTTGTTTGTATGTTGTTTAACGTTCCTCTCAAGAATTTTTCACTCATATGGAGACTCAACCACTTGCCAGTGGAAAGAGGCAAACTTTGTAATTTAGAAATGAGGGGTCTTTATGGTGCCAGCAACTTCTGCGACACGGGACCTCGGTTTATACAGTCTCGTCAGAAGGACCGGTCTCAACGTCCTTCAGTTGAATTCAAACCTGCGAGGTAAGGATCAATTCCTTTCTCTACGACTCTAGAGCAGACGCTGTAACCACTGCACCACGCAGGCCACAAGGAGACATACTAAAACTTGTATAGTGAAAACCCTAATATTACCTCTTGTAACATTTGGCATAACTCAGGGTTGATGACAATATATTTCAGTAAACTTTAAAATCTTTTAACAACTTACTTCCCTCGTCTGATCTTTGAAGAAATGTTTTGTTGTTGTCATTGCCCATCAGGTTCTTCAGTTTCTTTTGTTTTTTCTTCAATTTTTGTTTCGGGTACTTGGACATAAACCACGTTCTAGCAGCTTTGGTCACTAAACTACAGATGAAATAGAAGAGTTTAAGGAAGTTAGCTCCTTTATCAGATGGCAAAACATCAGCCCTAATGACAGATTCCGACACCGATGCATGGACATGCTTGCTTTCTTCTTCAGACATTTCATTTTCATCTTCATCTGACTCTTCAAACAATGGAGAAGAGGGGGAAGAGGTTTCTAGGTTTTCTTTAGTTGAATCTACAATATCCTCAAAATGGTTCTGTGTGTATGTATTTTCAAAATTGTCACGAGGAGAGAATGTTTCTTCCATACTTTTCCTCTGTTCGGTCTTATGTGATGTTGTAGGTAGATTTTCGTTAAAATGAATGTCAGAAATTATTGTTTTCTTAAAACCTGTGGTTCTCCCCTGATCTGAGCCTTCAGCTGCTTGACTATATATTCTTTTTCTTTCTTGCTTGGGCATTGTGAATAGTATAGTATGATGATATTTCCTTATTTTCTTCCCCATACTGAAAAAGGTTTATAAAAATTATCTTCGAAAAATATGTTATTTGGCTTTATATTTTATATAGTATTCTGTTATTAATAAAAAATGAGACTTTTAAACATTCCTTTTTTTAAATATAATTTTATTTCATCGTTTAAACGAAAGTAAATCGAGCACTGGGATATTTAAACCATTATGACCCTTTTAAGCAACCATAGTGTTTTCAAGCTATTTTATTTTAATTTCGAAATTAAATTTAGATGAAAAACATCTTAATGAATTAAAATTAACAATACTAGGAATTTTGCGTTTAACATTCGAAAATATGAATCTATACCTGTAGATTCAAACATTTTGAATACTGCTTAAGTAACGGAGATACACAACAGTAAAAGAATTCGGATCATAGTCTGAACTAGATATAGTGTTGACTACAAAGAAATTGCCTGATTGGCTTTTTTAATATCATTTGAAGTCTGCTGTATATGATACGATCATTATCATCATTTGGAAGTAAAAAAGAGTGATTGTGTTTTCCAAACATTTTACATTTGGATCAGCTTAAAGGACTAAAAATAATTCAGAGTTGCAAGACTTTAATAATTCCTTTTTTCTTTCTTCGAATTGTTTAAAGGCTATCTGAAATTTACACATTTGTTTAGGTTACCATACCTTCCTTTTCAAGATTTCACTTCCTTGTCAATATATAAGGTGGATCGCTAGTGAAAAAGAATTTTTTTTCTTGTTTTGATTCCACTCTTTGATTTAAGTTCAAGAACACTGTAAATACAATTGCATTACTGTTCGCAGCTCATTTGGTAGAGCGCTCGCTCCTTGATCGGAAATCCGTGGGTTTGACCCTCGGCCGCTACAAACCTATGTGGCAGCTCGCTTTGAAAAAAAATACGAACTGTGGTAATTAATTTCTGAAAGTGCGTTAAAATTTGGACAAAATCAATACCATCCTTTTTGTAGGATAACCAACTGATGAACTCCATGAAAAGGAGAAACAAGACTTTGACATATGCACTAAGGAGACATTGAAGATAGTTAGAATTTTCAATTTTCCCTTTTAGGTGGCATCGTCATATCAGTTTCAATAACATGAATTAAAGTCAAAGTCAAATGGAATTTTTATTACATTTTTATTAAAGATGATTTTAAACATGAGATAGGAATACTAGACATTACATAAGGAAAAATAAAAGTATTTCACCTCTAAGGTTTACCCTGCGTTTCTTTTGCCTTTCAATATATGTATGTGATTTATCAAAAAAGAAAGGGTTAAAATGAAAGGCTAGTTAGTCTTCACTTAAGGGAAATTTACGGCATAGATTGTAGTCCGTGGTTAAAAGCGTCTCTTCCAGACGAGTTGATCCTTGTTTCTCGGTTTAGAATTTTATTACAAGAAATGAAAGTTGGAAACCAGTCCTGTATCGCATTGGGTGCTGGCTAGGAAAAAAATTATCCGACACTGCTCCATGGCCGCCGACGATAGGTTAAAATTGGAAACCCTCCAGCGGACAAATATTTTCGTAACTTTATAACGTAAAACAAACAAAATTGGAACGATTGGGTACTCGATAGTGCATGGCGACTTTTCTTTCAAAGGTCGTTCAGAATATGGTAAGAAAACTTATATTTACTACAATGAAAAGGGGGAGATAAGAAACAGTGATCGATCTAAAGAAATCCACAATACAAATCTGTGAACAGAGCGTAAAATACAGACCTTTGAATATTCAACAGGTAGGAGTAGGAGCTTTAGAGGAGTAAACATCCCCAATCTACCTAGCACATCAACTGTGAGCCCTATATACATGTATTAATTAGAGGTTTGACGGATACATCCCGTAGTCGATTAAGTATAAAAACAAAGTCACAACTATACTTTATATAAGAATGATATAAGAAAGAAAGATAAGTTACCAAGGTATCTTTGTTACCAAGGCCCTTAGCATAATTTAACGACCATGATAGAAAATATATACGTAATGATAGCATGAAAAGAACCGTTGAAATTAATTCTGATATACCGGTATTTCACAGTATGTCTTAATTTAGCCACGACAAATGTCTTTTTCTTCTCATGTAAAAGTCAGCACGATGTAAATTTCTATGGTCGTTATTCAAGTTGTACTGAATTTGTTTACAAACATTGCCTTTATCAATGGGTCGTATTTTTGCCTGACTTGCTTCTTACCAAGAGCAATATCTTCATTTTAATACTGAACTACGGAATGTTTTGTCTACCTGATCAATATACATATGGCACATGTGACTGATCAACAGGGGGCGTTTACTACTCTTAAGCCCCTGATCCAACCTTTGGAATTTTCAGGGGTCTGTGTTTTATTCGTATAATTGTTTACAGATTTTTTATCGAATACTATTTGTTATCTTCAACCTTTAAAGAAATTAATGAATTAATAAGACAAAGAATTTTACACGACTGTATCGAGAAATTGAGATTCAGATCTGAGCCAAATTCCTGACCATTAACCAAAACAAGAATCTAAGCCTTGGGACCGCTTTTTATGTCTGTTTTCTTACTCTAAAGTTTCAGGAATGACATGTTATTTGAGGAAACATCATCTAAAGTGACCCAACTGAGTCGTTTAAGACAAAGTTCAGGATGTCGTCTCTTGTCAGTGAATGAACTGTATTTCATTTTGAAAGCTTCTTACATCAGATTTTGATCTATTTCCTGAGCGCCCAGTAAAAACTACTGAAAAAACCAAACACCTTCACATAAAACCATGATAAACATAGTATATAGATACAGTATCTTAATAAATATATGCAAACACTACAGCTGTACTGTAACGAAAAAGCACTGAGAATCCAACAACACCCTGAGGAAGTACTGAGTGGTGCTGAGCCTGGTACTGAGTTCACTGAGGTAGTCCTGAGTAGCACTGAGGTTTTCACTGAGCACACTGTATATCTAGTGCACACTAAGGACATACTGCATGAGAGGTACTGAGGTTGACTCTGTTGGTAATGAGGATACTACATGACGAATACTGAGGTGGATCAACCACCCCGTGTTAATTTAATTAATATCTTTCATATATTTCAAATATTGCACTTTTTAAACTCAGGTCAATACTTCCTATTTTTTATTGAATTTCTATTTTCAATAAAATAATGTTTATAAGTGTATGCACTTATTAACCTTTTGCAAAAGATCCGACACTTCTGTGTTATTTCTTCTGTTCTTTCTTTAGGAAATGTATAACATATGGCCAATACGTTATTTCATATAATTATTTGTTTTTACCGTGTTGTGCAAGCATACTTTTAAAGTCTACAAAATTACCATTTATCGGTAGAGTTCAATTTTCTGATTTTCAAATTTTAAACTTAATTTGATTAAACTTTCATTTGTCACCATCAATTTACATTATGTCACATGTGTATAAGGAGAATACACAACTTCCCGGTGGAGAACTGCAATTACTATACTCGACACTTACAGCAATTGAGCATTGAGGGGTCTTTTTTCGCAACAGCACCTACTGCGACATGGGACCTCTGTTTATACGGTCTCATCAGAAGTACCCGCTGTCTCCACGTCCAATAGTGGGATTTGAACCCGCAACGTAAGGATCAGCTTATTACTTCACAACTCTAGTGCAGACGCTCTAACCATTGCGCCATGCAGTCGATTTTTTTAATAATAATAAGTTCGTACAGATTTCATGTAAGTAGCTTATTAATCAACGTATGAAAAAGCCAATGTAGAAAAAAATAACATATGGAGAATATTTCTAACACTTTTTATATTCTTCCTTTTCGGTTTCGAAAAATCAGAAAGAAATCATTCAAATGTTATAAATTTAACTAACAGGCCAATATTTGGGTTTCCTAGTTTAAGGAAAAGATCAAGACCACCTTCGTTTTTCTTTTTTATGGCGCAATTTTTGTTTGAAAAATTATCTGATTTGAAACGGTAACATTCTAGGTGGAGATGCTCTGTTATGTTTCTATTTAGAGCGTGCACAACATGCACAGAACATTTTTGTTCTGCAGAAAGGCAGCATACTGGTATGTCCCAGTTTTAAATAGTTCATCAATCACTCATATCGATGAATAAGCTATTGATTGCTGTACAGTATCCTGAT